CTCGGCTTGACAATAACAATACGGTCTGTTGAATCAATAGCACATTTGCCTGAGAGAAACGATTCGTCCGAAGGCGAATAAAAAGAAGAGACGTAAAGATTGACGCGGTTGCATGTAAACCGCCTTTCGTTTCGTCCTATCCTTGACTCCTTCAACTGGTTGGGATTTATAAAGCGCGTAACCCCTGTAACCCATTAATAAAAGCCGAATTGCTCGCCACTCGTCTTACGATCGCCGCTTGTTTCAGGCATCTTTAATGGAGGCATTACGTGGAAGCGGTATCTGCGACGCTGAGGACTATGCAATGGAGTTCATGAAAATGAGCCTTGAGAAGGAATTGACTAAAAATTGAATTATTTTTTTACACCGTTTGTAAAAAAAAATATTGATCGTGATACAAGTTTGACGGTTAGACACGGTGTATGTAATCGTGCGAAAATTTTCACGAGCGTCTCGACGCCCACGAACGGATAGCATCTGCAGGATAAATACACGTATAAGATAAAGGCGCCAAGACGCGATAAGACATCGCGCGACGCGATGGAAATTCTATCGTCCCTCGCATTCCCCGGCGTCATAAATTTTCGAAAGTGAGTCGAGAAACAAGGTGCATTCTCACGCAGCAGCCATATCGGGGTAGCGAGACGAGCGAAGGAAAATTCATGCCTTAAGGCAGCTTTCACACCGGCGTCGGTACGGGAGGATATTCAGACAGCGATAGCTCGGGATACGCTTTCCCATAAAGGGAGAGAATTGCTTTATCCGATAAAACCGGCTTTAGAAATGCTATAACGCTTTAGTTTGCTCCTCCATTGGACACCGTTGGCGGCGCCACCGTCGCATCAAGGCTCGAGATCCAGATATCATTGCAGGGCCAAATGTCACAGGAGCTTCGATCTGTTTTACGATACGAGTGACGTCACGGGCCAGGCTGCGTGCGGCCCATAGGTGCCTTCATCTATAATATATTATAGCAGGAATAGAAATTTCGTCTATTTCTATTCCACACGTCGAGGCGTTGCGTGTCGCTTTTCAAGAATCATGGAAACTCGGTCGCTGCGATCTGCCGACACGATCCGAACGATCAAAACGATCAAAACGATCAAAACGATCAAGGCGATCCATTCGGCCCGATAGGCTGTCGTCCCTTGAAGCATCTGTTGCCGCGATTAATATCCGAGGGTGCGATTAGTTGGGGATAGACCTCCACGTGGCTTACACCTACCGGGTAGCTCCAATTATTTTGCGCCCTGACTCGAGACTAACTCGATAACGTGACGCAACACTCGGAGCGCTGCCAGAATCATGATGGCGATGCATTAATTTATAATCGTCTCGCAATTTGCCCGTCGGCCGACGACCAAAGAGGAATCAGCCAATTCGCCAGAGGCGACGTCGCGACGTCACGCGTCGAATTTTATATGATTCTCGATTTTTTTTTTTTTCGAAAATTTCCTCCTCTTTTTTCCTATTTGCTAACGAAAGAACTTCACTCGTCGAGGAGTTCTACGATGCTTTTGTGCCCCAAGGAAGAAATTAGACAAAGGTATTAATTTACCAGAAAATGTCGATAGAATCTCGTTAAATTTCCTCCAATTTATTTTCTCTTTCTTCCTCTCTCCTTTACTCACTTTCTCTCTTCTCTCTTGATTCCGTCTCTGCTCCTGTGCTCGGTATCGATCTCTCTCCTTTTCTCTCGATTCGCCCGGATACTGCGGACAGCTTATCTGGAATTAAGGTGTCTCCCGCAGCCACCCCAGAACATTCTGGACCAAACGGATCCGAAACTGTAAAGAGAAGTGTATCTAAACCGATCTTTAACCGTCGTACGTCGATCTGCTTTTCCGTTCGACATTTTCCAAAGCGACTTGATTGTCCAATTTATTTGTCCAATGCATCCTGATCTTCTGTAGATCCTCGGTTGAACGTGCCAGCGAAACGTGGAAAATGAGGAGCTTATCAATGGAGTTTAGGAACAGCCAAGTCCCATCATGGCGAAGGGAGCATCTTTTATCAATTTATGAAGAATTTACAGTCCGTCAGCAAAGGATGTCTTGAGCGTCTAAGTTGGAGGCCAATCGTTGTTCCTCCATTATCGTGTCTTCGGTGCATAATATACACGTAGCTATGCAAATCCTTCCCGCCTAACGGCATTGACGCACGACAGGTACGTCCGGTACCGTTCTTTCCATTTTTCAACTGAACTTTACTTATAGCTATTTAAACTTGATGATTTTCATAAAAACCAGTTTAAGGAACTGCCTTTCGACGTTGCTCCCTTCTTTTCTGAGCTTTGTCTCTTGGCGAGGTTCGATCGAAATTTGAGATTCTGCTCGATTGCGTCATTCACCTGGGCGGCCATCAATCCGACGGACGTCGTTAGGCGAGTACACACTTTAGCCGGGGGACGATTTATCTGCAGGATTCGAGTGCTGCGAGAAAATTGGTTATCCCTGAGATAAGAGGAATCTATATTTTTGTCAGACCTTGGGTCTGTTTTTAGTTAGCGACGAAAATTGTCGAATAATAATAACTTTTCGAATGCAACGACGCTTCGGTAAATCGGAAATGCGTTTGACGAACGTTCATTAAATATCTTCTATGAACCATATTGATTTGTCGAAAGTGAATCTTACCATTTCGCGGAATAATATGTATTATCAAAATGCATACGTTAACTTGGATCGTATTAGAGAGAGAGAGAGAGAGAGAGAGAGAGAGTCCACCGCCGTTCAATCAGTCCTACATGAGCATGACAATTAAGCACGTTCAATAAATCTGTTGAGCTAATTCCATTGGAATAGAGATTGGCCGGGAGTGTCAATCCGACGGAATTCACGCGACGAGAATAGAATTTCAATTTTGAACAAAGGAAGAATAATCTCGCGGCAAAATTGACAATCCCATCAGATTAGGATGGATCAGAGTTAATAATAAGAGTGAGAATGCAAAGAGCTGGACGCGCGAGAGAAAGAGAGAGAGAGAGAGAGAGAGAGAGAAGGGTAGGGAGGAAAATAAGTCGTTCCAAGTTGTATTAGTAGAAAGTAACAGTTTCAGGGCTGCCAACTAATTTAGCCGATCTGCCTCGAAACCCTCGAAACCTTCGAAGAGGTCCTTAGTTGCTCGTAGAACCACTAACAGCTTTCCTTTTAATCCCTGGGGTTAGATTTCTTCGAAGGCAGCCAACGCCACCCCATCCCCTGGCATCCTCCAATCTCCAGCAACAGAGCCCAGCATCCGCCAGTAGCAACAACCTACAGCAACTCCTCTTTCCTTCTACGCCAGATCCACCTGTTCCATTTTCATCTTGAATCCGTCTTCCGGTTAGCTTTTCGGGCTCTTCCGTCACGCTGTGACATTACACCCTCAAGAGGACGCAAGTGCGATAAGCCGATTTCCCTCAAGAAATTCTCCATCCGAAAGAGTCACTAGTCGTTCGTATCTTCGGGGCGTCGCGACGTCGGAGGACGGCGTCTGCACAAGGAGGTGCGTCAAGGACATTTCCTTGGTAAGGAACTAATTACCGGTCGAGGGAGTGACCGTTACCATCTTGATAAGCACCACCAGCTCAAACGGGAAATCGTCATCTTCCGGTGGAATTGGACGTTTCTAAATTAATTCTCGAAACTTCAGCACGTAGCCACGTGATCCTCCATTGACCTAGGTAATTCCTTAGAAATGTCCTCGAGCTCGATTTTCCCCCAGGATTATTACTAAGTCATCCTCCAGTGCTATTTGGGTATCTGGCTGCTTTCTCTCGCGCAATCAGATCATCTGGCTTAGCCTTCATTCGCGTCTTCGTGTTCCTGAGATCACGCGATAATTACACCTTATCCCACAGTGGGTACAGTCCAGAAGATGGACTTTCATTCTCGTGAAGTTGGTATAAAGCTACGGTAAGACTTGAGAACTTTCAAAAAGTTCCCCAGACATGTAGACAGCCGAAAGCTCCTGCCGCGAGAATTAACGCCATCGAGAAAATCCATGATAATTACTCAAGGACTTTTAATAGGAAGTCGAAGAAAGCGAAGGGACGCCTCCTGGACCCGATGCCAATACCAAATGAACTTGTTCGGGTTCGCCGTTCCGATAGTAACCAAACTCTCTGGACGATTAATCATTCTCCAGATAGGTACGCGTATTGGATTTAAACCCACTGGAAATGAATAGCCCTCAGTTCCGAAAGCGTTTGCGAATCCCCTTAAAGACCCGAGCGACGTGTAGGCGAACCTTAAGCCCGTTACCTTAACTCTAGCCGCGAAAACTCCAGGGAGAATTAATAACGTCAAGTTGGGCACTTTTTGTTCTTTCTCTTTTTACTAGCTATCAAGACCAGCCGAATATCTGGCGTCTCGTAATTCAGAAGACATTCCATGCATGCGTCCCTGATTAGCGCATTTATGTAGATATAAATTTATACACGCTCCGTCTACGACCACACGTCTACCGTACAATTGGACGTGATGTCATGGTAGATGAGATACAAAACACGAAATAACTAATAGATCCCGTTACTTAAAAATTTGTGACCTCTGTGGCAATTGTCACAGCGTCTGTGGATCGACGTTATTCCTCGAGAGCAACTTGCGTCATCGTATATCTAGAGATGTCAATTAATAATAAAGTGTATTACGGAGTGACGCTCTTCGATTGTCTCGGCGCTTTCGAGGAATCGCGCACTGGGACTGTTTAGTTGGCACTTGGACTTGGCACGTATCGGCCAGTGTGTCAAGATCAGTTGATCTTCGGAGTCTGGAGTCTGCGCTTGAATATCCCCAGAGTGAAGAACCTTCTCGAAGAAGATGTTCAAGTGGTTGTCGGGGTACGATGCGAATCGATAATTCGAAACAATTGGGAGCGTCGGGGGTCAGAACAGGCTGGTGGATCGAGGAGCCGTGCTCCTTTTGAACTTTGACACCGATAGATCCAGTCTCGATTTTTATGTAGAACGAAAATATGTTTCGACGAAGAATTAACGAAGAACCGTGCTTTGATTGCAGGAGGATGCACCTAGAGGTGACAGTGGCTCTGGCCATTGCTTGCCTGGCGGGCGTGGTAGGAGCAGCCACCCTTGCATCCCTCTCGCCCCTCGATCAATACTCCCCGCAACACGAGGGCTACCCTCTCGAACCTCGAGAGATTCCGGAACATCCAAACTGGAAGGAGAATGAGGATGATGCTGGGATCGACTCGATGGTCCAGTCTGCTCACTTTAGAAACGGAATGAAGATCGGTAACGGTTGGTCCATTTTATTAGGATTTTTCATGTCAAAATTATATATTTTCTTCGATACCCTGCTATCCGGAGGCTGACGGTGACGTCAGTCGAGGCTGCACTTGAGTGTAGTAACCCAAGTTTATATGGTGATCGAAGCTGATCGTGATTAATTTCAGATTTTATCGCAACTCCGGAGGATCGTGAACTCAACGTTGATGAATTGGCCGAGGAGAACGAGAGGACGTTATCCGCAGAGGAGGACGATTTTGTGGGGGACGATAACTTCCAGGATCAGGGTCCTGGATCGGTGGAAGTTTACAAGCTGGATTTAGCGAGGGACAAGCCCTTACTGAGTCCGCCGATTCCGAAGATGCCCTTTTTCCGTTCGAAGAGTAAAACACCGAAGAAGGCATCCTTCAACGAGACGAGCTGGAAGCCGAAGAATATTCCTGAATCAAAGATATTAAATCCAAAGATTTTTGTGGAACCACCCTACGAGCAATTCGGAATAGGCGGCGTCCCGGAGCTTCAGGTGGGTTGCGAAGGTCTGGAAGCGTCCTACAGATCAAAAAGATCGTCGGAAAGAAAGGAGGGTCGGATCAGAGATGAAAATGAGATGAATCCAATGAGTCCCGTCACCGCGCTTGACCTTGACTTGAATTACGATTCCTACGAAGATGAAGGCTACGAGGATGAACTAGTGAAAATTAAAATGGCCGAGTCTAGCACTAACAGTCCCTCGAATAAGAAGAACAGGGGCGACATTGAACCCGGTCTTGCTGATCTCGGCGGCAGGAGACCTCGTCCTGAGAACCTACCGAATCGCGGGGATCTGGGTCCTGTGAGTGGAGCATTCTTGGAATCAATCAACGCGATAGACAGCAAGGGTACCAATGCAGCGCAATCACAGGGTGCAGCCAGGACGGAGAATCCCTACAACGCTCCGGTAAGTCGGCAACAGGGTTTGTCCCCGGTAGAAGGTCCTTCAGGGTACAGTGGAGGCTCTCGCAAGCTTCTGTCAGTCGAGAGCGACGACGAGAAGGACCTTCTCGAAGAAGACTATCCAAAGCGTGTGGAGCGTGAGGTCCTCTGGGGATTCGACGAGGACGAGGGTGCGATTACGAGCAAGGAGTTGGAGATCCGGAAGAGAAAGAAAAAAGAGAATGAATTTAGGAAGCGAGAGCACGAGAGCCGAATGGAGGAGACAGCCCTGAGACACCGAGAGAATCGGACAGATCATGGTCCTGCCAGGGAGAAGAAGCGATTACAGACGACAGGAGAAGTCTCGAATTCCAGGCAAACGTACGACAGGGCATTGGAGAGGCAACGGAGGAGACATAGGGATAAGGCAAGAGAACGCGAGGATCAAGAGAGGCGAAGAGCTAGTGATAGGCTATCCGAAGAGAAAAGAAGAAGAGAGGAAGAAGATGCGAGAATGGAGGCTAGAAGGAAATGGCAGGAGGAGAAGCGTGGAGACGAAGAGACCAGGGCCCAACGCGAGGGGACGACTGAACGTGGACGAGTGGAAGAAGAGGAACGCAGAAGACAGGAAGCTGAGAGCAGAAAAGAAGGACCGTCCAATCTTGTTCGTTCCGCGAGCAGAGAGTCGGAGGAGAGACGTGAGCGTAAATTGCGGGAGTACGTGAGGAAGAACACGCCAATGATAGTCGACGCCAGACGACAGAAGGAGAAGGACAGACAAGAAGCAGAGGAACAGAGGTTGCAGGAGTACATAAGAAGGATGCAGCCGGTCGATGTATCCGGAAGAGACAGTAGCAGACTCGCGCAGGAATATCAGGAGAGGAAGAGAATAGCGGACGCTAGAACGTACCAACCGAATTATCCGACTAATGGAAGACGCAGCCACGGTCCGTCAGCGCCGACTAACGTCCCTTCCCGGGCGTCCTCGAACCAGGTCCAGCGCAGGCAGGAAGCCAGACGTCTCGAGGAGGAGAGGCGCAGGATCGAGAGACAAAGGTTCCTCGAGGAAAACGAGAGCAGGATGGCCCGCAGAAGAGAGGAGGCACGCAGGCGTTACGAGGAGGACCGAAAGAGGCTGGAAGCTGCGAGAGCTCAGGAAGAAAGGAGGAGGCAGGAAGGGATCTCCGAGAGGACTGTGCAGGGTAGAGGAAGGGGACGGGAACCGAGTGAGGCACCAGCCAATTCGATCCTGACCAGGGGCAGGAGTGCTCAGGAACTCGGGAGGAGACGACTGGAGGACTACGAGAGCAGGTCTTATGCTATACCTATCTAACTTATACCAGAGCACCGTCCTGCATTCCATATCCCATATACGTACGAGCGACACGTCGCACTTCCTTAACATTCTGTCCCATCCCTTGTCTCTCTCTCTCTCTATGCTTACAAATTAGGTCCTTCCAGGGTAAAGGAGGAGATCAGAATGAACTCTCTACCAGTGAGGGCAAGGGTAATAATTCGCCCTTCGACCGAAGCTGCGTCGAATTCTCCGAGAATTTCAAGTAGAAATAATTTCGAGAATGGTATTGATTTCCAGGTAAGTTGCAGCCTTAGACAATGACGCCCTAATTACAGAACCTGTCTACGCTATAGTCAGACACTTTACTAATAAGCCAATTCCACAGGGTATCAATCCAAATCGTCAAGGATTGGAGGCAGCACGATTCCCAGTGCCAGCTACTATCAGACCACCTGTCAAGAGTCCTAGTCCCTGTGTGTGGGCGATTCTACAGTGTTGTCCTTCAAACAATCGCCTGACGAGTTGCTTCGAGTCCATGGGATGTCCTGGCGTCAATTGGGATCCGAATCCTTGCAGAGGATCCATAATTCAGGATGCGCATTCAGAAATAATGAAATTTTACGAACTTGAGAACAGGCACTAGAGAGTCAAAGAGAAAAGCAATTCAAATTGTCTATATAATTGAAAAGAAAAAAAAAAAAAACATTTTAAAGTTTAAAGTATCCAAAGCATTTCGTAGCAACCGACATAATTTCTGATCTACTCTGATATTGTAAACAAGACACAGGAAGAGACAACATTTGTTGTTGTCACTACTGCCTTCTTTTTGTATACCACTGTACAGTTAATAATCACGACGCTAGTATTAATTCCTGATCTAACAAGAGCGGCTGTACGCGTTGCTCTGCCGTTAATGAATTCGTTTAAACTCTAATTCTCTTTCTTTTTGCATTTAGTCGCCGAAATATAATTCACAGCTTTCTCACGTGTAATGTAGATAGACCAGTTTGCTTCGACGAGCAGTCAACAATGTAATATAGTAGATATTTATGTATGTACTCATCGTGTTCCATTTTATTGGAATAAATTTCTATATGTGCTATGTAATTATTATTGTTATTATTATTATTATTAACGTAATCAATAAATCCATCACTGAAGAATTGCGTCACTCGATGCAGTATCGCATGGCTAATAATCTCAGCATTATAGACGGACGTTTCCCACGTCGGTTAAACGGACGCTGGGCGTCCACGAATATACAATGGCGTTGATTGGACGGAAAACGTTCGTAAGCTCTTAGTGTTGAATGGCCTCGTTATCGTGAAAGCACATCGAGGAAAAACTGGTTGCAGGAACTTTCGGGCTAGTTGGGCTGTTCGATTATTGCAAAAGTTTGAAAATTCACCTCGACAATCTCCTCCATACTTCCTTCCCAACACCCAGCTCAGTTTATCCTTCGCACCGCCGCTATATCCATTAGCTCCTTTTTACCTTGGTCCATTCACGGGAAAACCCCCCCATCGAATTATCGCATACTTCCGAATTCGCTATACCTAGCCACCACAAACTATGCTAATCGAGCTTCGAGAACGAGGAGCGAACGAAGCAATGGCGGCAGCTACTACCTGAATTCTATTCCAACCCTTTTTTGTAGCTATTTTATAAATTAGAATATAAAGTGCGCTGTACATTTTTAAACTACATTCGACTATTGCAATAGGTTATTACTCTTAAGTGTTATTGCAAGTCGCTATTCCATTTGATTCGTCATCCAAAAAGCTGCTTGGCTGCAGTAACTATAGACGTAACGGTATAGCACTGTCGTGTCGCTCAAGCAGCAATTTCATATTGGTTAGATATTGTATTTATATCTCACATACCATATCGTCTCTTCAGGGTGTTTCCTGCGGCGTCAGCAGCATTGTCTACCTTCTTTGGATTTTATCTGCACGTAGCTACCTCCAGGTGTATACAAGCATGCGAAGCGACTTACAACTTGTACTAGCAGTGCAGCAGCATCTATGTACTCGCAGAGGTACACGGAAGCTCGATGATATGTATTATGCTTATACACAGATGAATATATTATCTATATACATATGTACACGTGTATACAGTGAGATAGCAGTAAGCACTGCCAGCAAGAAGACTGGCACCGCAAAATCTCCACCTTTTGTTAAACGGTCGGCATTGTCCGCGTAAAAGGCGCACGTAAACGGCGCGCAAAACATTGTCCTATCTTCTACCCGGTAGCGTAGCGACGCCCTGGTGCACTTTGGCCCGCGGGACTGCTAAAGGGAAACTTTTGAAATGAACGTCTACTCGTTTCTCGAGTTTGTCATTCCTAGGGTGAGTTTCAATGGTTTCTAGCAAGATTTTCAAAGATTAACGAAAGGAAAAGGAAATGAAGAGAAACGATTGAAAACAAAAGAGAACTAAGAAATTAAGTAAGGTGCAGTAGAGGGAAATTCGTTAGATCGATATTGTGTCGTGGAGATGAATTAATCGAGCGCAGCGATTCCATTTGGGTGTCGATTCGGTACGATTTCCACACAAGGAATTCTATGGACTTTATTTATTTACCTTTTCGTGTATATTCCTAGAGAACGTTCGACTTGCTTTTACTAGCGAGGAAGCACGAATGCCTACACTGTACGAGGAGGATAGGCAAACAGGAGGTGTGAAAACACGCAATTGTACGTATACATGTCGTTGCGAGTCTTGATTACAGTCGACACGTTATCCTCTTACTAGACAATTCGTGGCTGGCAATATTTGCATAGAGAATCCTAAATCTCAACCGTCACTATCGAGCCCAACACAATTCGATATATATATCGTTCGAGTTGCAGTAGCAACAGCGTAGCAATCTAGATTCCGTGCAACGAGTGCGCATGCGCACAGTCGTCCTATTACCATACAGCCATTCGGGACCTGACAGGTTGGGTCAGGCTTTACTGTAATATTCCGGTAATGGAAATACAAGATTGAAAATGGAGGAAGGTAATAAACAGTGAAAGTGAAAAACGTAACAAGATGGTGGAAAACATATCCGGAAGTTAAGTCGCACTTACCGTCGCTGCGCTGGGCGATACCTCTCTTATCGCCCTTTCCCATGTTTCCTCCTTGGTTCTCCGGCTTTAAGGTGAGAGCTTCGATTCTTCGCGCCGTTCTGAAATTCAATTGGGAAATATCGTTACGCTCCATGTCGGCTTCTTTTTGAGAAATCTATGCGAAGGAAGAAGGTGGGAATAGGAGCTCATCTGAATTCCGGGCAAGTTTCTAACCTCGTTCGTCCTGAAGGATCGCACGCGTGCCCACCGCTGAGGGTTTACTTTACCAAGGATATTCGTGGCCAGCAAGTTTAAAGTGTTGTTAGGATAGAAAGGAAAGTGAGGACGTGGGGAAAGTGATGTGAAAAAGAAGAAGAAAATGTGCAAGAGGAAACAGACAGACAAGGAGAAACAACTATACTTCACCGGCAGCCAATATAAGGTTAGAAATAATACGTTTCGAAATTCCCTCGACAAGATTTATGTATAATTTCGTGCAGTCGGATGAAATATTTTCTACTCGTATCATCGTCCTCTTTACTTGCGAGCTCTTATATGCGAATAAGTCGACGTAGCGTTTCCGGTAAAATCTAATAAAAGTGTTCTGAACTGCAAAAAAGGAAGCTGCGATCCTCGAAAGTGTTTGGTCAGGCGCCCTTAAAAGCTTTTACGCCTTGAGATCGATAGCTGGACGTTCACCGAGTGTTCATCAAACATTCGAAATTTTCTTCAAGTGATGGAGTGCCTATTCTGATCGCCTTCACGCTGAAGTTTCATTGGAAACAGGATAATATAAGGGTTGCGAGACTGAATATTGGATACGCGTGAAAAATCCTTGCTGAACGTGGGTAACTATATAATATATGTAAAACGTATAGTTGAAAAGCAATAACGCGATTATACCTTCAAGTGTTAAGAGGCACAAAACTGAAAAGTCACTGTTGCAGAATGGCACGTAGCAGCGAACGCGTTCACCGACACCGGAAATTGTTGGATTCGACCGGAAATCGTGAAATTCCCGATAGCGTCACGTCTACTACTGACATTTTGTAGGAACCTGTCGAAGGTACACCCGATAGTCACGTCGTAACGATGCGTGCTCACAGAGACTGGACGTTTAACTGGTCAGGTGCGTACACACAGTCGCTACATATAAACTGCCATTTCCCATGTCTTCTAGCTATTTCCTACGTGAACCTGCAACGGTCATTCGAATTCAATATATTTCACAGAAAATTCATTAAAGTCAGGTTCCAGTTATATGTGCACATATTTTGTAAATCTCCCATAAATCATATACCGTACTCGCATCACAGCGATTCAAAATCGTAGCGTAATAAAGAAAAAAATTCAAAAGCATCTGTAATCTTGGCAAAAAGAGTTATGTGCCCAAACAAAAAGCAGGATTGCCCATTCTCTGATAAAATGAAACCGGAGCACTCACGGGTAATGATTCACATGGAAGTAAAAAAGTACAGAAGTAAGGAAATAAAAGCAGAGAAGGAAAAGTGGCCATATATTTATTTAAAATAGAAGAAAGAGAAGGTAGAAATTGTATTATTCCTGAGATTACATTACAAGTCAACTTTACGTATGTTTCTCCAGCATTGCCGTAGATTTCGGTTAAAAAAAAAAGGCAAGGCCATTAACGCATCTCCATGAAAATATTTCTTCTCCGTTTCATCTTGCCACTTCCTCCGTCTACTTTATCCATCCTACTTCGTCCAGCCTACTTCGGCTCAGCAGCTTTGTCTGACTGGGTGGAATAAAAAGTTTCATTAAGCTTTCTCAAGTCTCATGAACAAGGAATAAAAACTTTTCTGTATCTTTTCTTTAACCCCCCCCCCCCTCCTCCGTCCACACTTACTTTTTAACCCTCTCACGTGCACGTGATTCTCTCACAACGTTATGGTTAACGAACTTGCACGTGGCTGTAGAAAGATCGTCGACCATGACGTAGGGTGCTCCTGAGCCGACGGTTTCTCGGCGTAAATTAGTCCAATTAGGAACGAATTTTGCCGTTCAGTCCAGTAAGCTCGTAAGCTCGGCCAGAACTGCTCCGGCAAAGCTCAGAGATGCTGTGAGAATCAGAGCGCGAGGATTTCGCTTGGAATTAAAAGAGAAATTTTTTTAACTCTCGTAACGAGGAAATTCGAGGAGTAAGTCGGGACGAGATTAAAAAAATAAATTGTCTATCGCGCTTAAAGGACACGTTATCGCCGAGTGTGCGGATGATGCATTGCGTAACGCGTCCTTTGGATTCGCACGTATATCTTACCGCAGCCGACAGATCGCTCTCATTGTTCCGACAATACACTGTGAACAATCGTAACGGTTCTGAAAGCAGCGACAGGAATAGGGCACGTCCCAAGGGAATCCAACTAATTAATCCGAACCGACTCCTCCTGTCTTCCCGAGGGATTATATCGCCGACGGGACTCTATAGCCCTCTGGATACTTAAATAGAGACGCTAAACTCCGGCACAACAAACGAGCTCCCGAGAAACAGGCTCCGCCGTTTCCGGAAGGAGTTCGGGACTGACATTAATCCGGACAATTTGAGTGGTTACTTCGTACAACTGCGCGATGTTCCCTCAGGAGCAAAGATACTTTTAAACGTTGCCTCAACTAATGGACAACTTTGGACCAGCTGATCTCTGCCTTATCTCATTTTAATGTCTAATTTACGGTCACTCTGCCAGAACCTAGTCGACACAGAGATACGAAGTTTCAAGTTCACGAGATTATAATATGTCCCTCGCAGTACAGTAGGCAACAGAGGATGATAGAGCTACGAAAGGACCTATAGGTATAGTTTTGCCAGGAGATTTTCAACTAAAAGATGGCGCGCTGGAATAGCCGGAGAATTCCAAGAGATCGCGTAGGGTCCTGCGAGAGGGAATACAAAGTCCAGCCTGGAATACAAATCCTTATTCTAATTCTTCTAATTCGCCAGATACGATTCTATTGCTCGGGCAAAAAGGAAAGGTAAAAGCGCGTACACGTTGCGTATCGGAAATATTGACATGTGAAATAGTAAATAAATATTAACGGAAATGCAGGCACCGTGACGCTTCGCTACGTGCTGATCTTACTTACCTGTTTGCAGGAAAAACATTTGGCAGAGCCGCGAGTAAAGCGAGAGGACGAGAGATCTTCTTTTATCCGTAATCGGTGAAAGGTGAAAGGTGAAAGGTGAAAGGTGAAAGGTGTAAAGCTTCGAAGCTCAGAATCTCGAAAGCCTTACTACTACGTAGAAGCACAAGCCTGGCGAAAAACCGAAGTCGACCGAAGTATGCTCTAATCTATCCGTTTACGATTTCGTTCATGCCGAATTTAGAAGCCAGAAATTGGTCTCCCACAAATTAGACTGTCCTATCAAATATACATATCACTTGCCATCCTAAACATCATCCCAGGGGATGTTGGCACGTGAACGCGTTTCGGGACCGACACCGACTGAACTCCTGACGGCTGGCAACCACCGGAACGAGAATCCCCTGCTCCTGTTCCTGCTCCTGCGCTGCCTTCCCGACGTTCCGGACTCGTCATTCTCTTTTCCTACTGTCCCGCCACGCGTTCCACCCTTCGAACCTTCACGTGCTCCGGGGAACCGTTAGGTCGACCATTGGTACGTTGCGCAACAGTCGGTGGGGAAGAAATATTCAAAGTCAACGGTCGATAGTGCTTTTTGACTTTGACTGTGGATAAATAGACTGGTGCTTGTTTCTGATCGTTCGATACTCCCAGAATACAATTGCACTTCTCGCGAATCCTCGCGGTTATCCAGTCCCATTAAAAAACTAATTCGCGTAATCTGCGTGGGTATCAAATAAAAATATTCATTTTTCATTAGTAATTTCGCCGTTCGTTCCACCGTGTAGTTGGAGCCATCGCCATCTGTCGGTAGATTCTCAAAGTAGGCATTGCAGTCGGTAACTCGATCTACTGTTGCCTCTAGCCCACAGCTTCCCACGACATGAAATCTGGTAAGATGCTTTATCTTGGTCTGCTGCTTTGGTGAACGCTGTTATCAAGGACGGGAATAGGCTCGATTGCCAGCAAGGCAGGAGATGTGAATTTTTGTAAAATCCCATTTGTCGGCAATGCAGTATCTAATCCTTAAGGCTGGCCGAGGTAAGGGAGGATGGAGTTTAATATTTTTCTTAGAATCGCGTAAATCTGCGCGCTGATGTAAATCGCCTGGAACGGTTGACATGTCGATGGACGTTACGTGGGAAAGTCCGCGTTATTTTTCACGATTGAAGGATAATACGAAGGGAGGATATGGCAAGAAATCTTTAATTACATTTAATTAACGTGGCGTGCCACGAAGCAGGATATCTTTAACTGCGGTGTATGTAAATATGTAATGGATGATGTAAGATAAGTGCAAGTACTGTGATTTAGTGAAGGAACTCGCCTCGTACCGTTAATAGATACTTGCCAATCTTCATTCAAGGAGCGCGGTGCTGGGTAAATAACGCTGAATGCGATATTACGGCAATTTCATTGAAATCAGGTAATCCGATACGCATATCCAGTTATCGGTGCTATTGATCGTACAGGGAATGTCATAAGGTCCTAGCTGTAATTATTAGCTAATAATAATTCCACTTACCGGCAATATTCAGTCACGCGGACGGATTTCCCTGATTCCATGCAGAATGTCACCGATGTGTCGCCGACATTTCACGTATTTATAATTCGACTTGGGTGAATTTCAATAAGGGCGGGGGAGAGAATTCCGAAAAATCACATCGTGGAAAATAATGTTGGCCCTATTGACAAATATTGTGGACTGATGAATTCAAACGAAATTGCTTATCCATGAATGTGAGGATTAAATGAAATTCGTTGTTAGCACTGTCAAAATCTACTGTCAAAATCTACTTACCCAGCCGAGGGTGCGTTTCCCTAATAATTAGCAGCACTTTGATCGACTCGTGTATGGATTAAGTATACATATAGCGAAACGGAGGATATCCGTAGGGAAAATTTGCAATTTTATTCAGTTCTCAGCACGGGGTGTCAGGGTGTCAAGTAATCGTCGGCTGGAGGGAATTGTAGATTTTTTGAAAAACACTAAGAAGGACTATTGCGACTAAGACTTTAGCGAGGGTGAAGTGGACGAGGGAATACAAATTCAGAAATAAGAAAATGTTCTTTTTTTTTCAGCTCTTGAATTACGAAAGTTTCCCAGGGAGACGACCTGCCCGTTCCTTCTGGACCCAGCATCCTGTAAGTCGGACCACTTTTGTAATACATAAATGCATGAATAACTCCGCTTCCAAGTGGGTAATCCCGCGGAAGAGCGTCTCGATTAAAATTGTTACCATTCTGCGGCGTCGCGACGCCTATACTCCAGCCGTGTGAAAATTAAAATAGTCATCGCCGGTCGTTAGTCCCGCTAAGAAACTAAGAAACTTCGGGCCGGCCGAACCAGACGAGAAGCTCCGCCGTCTGCTTTGAACTTTTGCGACGCGCAGCGTCGCGACGGTGAAATCGAGACGGTCGAGTCTTCTTGAAACTCTTACGATTTTCTCACCTGCCAACTTTTCTCATCGAAATTTCTCAGCGACGCCTTACCGAGTCTTTCAACGTGGGAGTGACGTGCGTTTCGACTTGTTTTTAATTAGACACCGTAATTTCTTGGAGAATTATATCTTCGTCGAGATCGATCGACGCGCCCTCATCTAATCTCGCTCCAGCAGTCCCGATACAGGGCACTTGAAAAAAATACAACATTTTTCGCGAAATCGACGTTATCGACAATTCGCAGGACAATTCGCACGAGTATTCGCCAGAAATGGGAAAAACGGCGTGCTTATCCAAGAGAACGAGCATGCCCGCTACTGGTTGCCTTATCAAAGTGACATCAACCTGAATACGATTATTTTATTAGGACGAAAGAAAAGGCGAATAAAAATAATTAATTTGAGAAAAAAAGGGCGAACGACGATAAGGCAAAATTGTAAAGCGACAAGAGCAGGTAGTTCTTCGGGCACAAAGATTGCTCGCTTCTTCTGGCGTATCCTCGTGTTTGCCCAAGCCAAGAGATGCTTACCAAGGGAGGAGCTGCTCCTGCGAGTCGCTCCTCCATGTAGAAATATTGACCGATCTCAGAGGCGACTCGATTCTCTCGGCGAACCGAGCAAATTGTGAGGAAATCAAGAGCAAATACTCGCTCGCCCTGAGCTTGATTCATAATTCATAGCTCGTTATGTCTCGGAGCTACAGCATCCGGGTTCGGGGTTTGAATACACCGACAGCCCCTTATGCATATTGATATTTTCGTTGGGATGCAGGAGGAGCTGCTCCTGCTGCTGCTTCGGCTTCTCCGTACTCCTTGGCTCCCTTCTGTTTTCTGTGTATCTTGTTTCACTCACTATCAGCACTCTGGCTAATATAGCTACCTACCTGCCCACCTGCCCACCTGCCCAGCTGCCCAGCTGCCCAGATACATTTACCCAGTAACCGATCTTCCAGTTCAGCTAGTCGCCAGAGTCACTTCAGGATGTGTACCTGTAGTCTCAATTAGTTTTCTCCGCCATCTTGTTTATTAACAACAGCGATACCCGGTGGCTCATTATTTCAGGATGTAGGCAGGTGTAATTAAATTGGAGAGGAATAAAAACGTTGCCAGTAGATACGGTGGATTAGTGGTCGGACGGCTTTCCCTCTGAGACTCTGGCCAGTGGAAAAGTGGAAAAGGTTGGCTCGTTGGCTCGTTGGCTCGGAAGGACACGGAGAGACAATCCGAAGTTGCCGCGGAAGGAAGGAGGAGGAGGAATCGCGGCTGAGCCGCGGAGTCGCGGAGCCAGAGAATTCTAACGGGAGGAAGAAGAAGGAGCGACTCCGAGTTCGCTACGGTTAGCGCGAGAATTTAATTAAGAATTTCCATGGACGGGCGCCATATTGCCCTGGCACACACACGTCACCCACGCGAATCACTGGGCGTCGGGGGCGTCGGGGGCGTCGGGGGCGTCGGGGTGCGAACCCCTAATTAAATCGAAAGAAATCTTCCCTTGCTCCCCCTTTCCCCTATTTCTCGGACTACTTTCCTTCCTGCACCTTCGCGACCACCGGCTCCTTTTCTTCTTCTTCTTCTTCTTCTTCTTCTTCTTCTTCTTCCTTCCTCCCGTGGACCAAGGCTGCAAGGACTCCCTCCCGAAGACTCTGGCCATGCCAATTCGCCAAGACTAAGTATTGAAAAGTTCTTATAAGGCAGGGAATTTGCATTTTAACTACGGCCCTGACGCCATTCTTAGAACTTCAGTCTCATTTGCCTGCAGTCCCGGATATCGCTTGCATAAATATATTTCTCATTCTTGCGTCACTTAATTACATAGCCGTGCAATTAACAACCCCCTCCCCCCCCCCTGCTTGAGATTCATGCTCAAATCCTAGGCTTGGATAATTATTCCTTTTACACCCTTTTATTCCTCAGAGAGATTCAAGGGTGGCTCCTCCTTTGATTTGACCCTATAAACAAATTAGAGCCACCGTCCTCCTTAATTCCCCGAGGGCTGTTCCTGCGGGCCTGCACCCGGGCACGCACGCACAATACGTCCCTGGGACTACGAGTGAATCTCGGACGGCATTTTCGAGATAAACGCTTACTCACCGATGCAGCATCAATCAATCAGGTTGCATATTAATTTCCTCTATCCTACAGAAATCTTTTGATAATCCCTATCACGGTCCATCCACCCGGTAGATGCTCTGCGGATTAGTAACTGCAGGTTAAAATTTATCAATAATTCCGGCGGCGCGACGTTCGATCTTTTACCTGGAAGCCTGATAAAAAATATGTAAATAAAAGCTCCAAATTCTGTCGCACAATAAAATCCCTGTATCTTTCTACCAAGTGAATTCTCAACCCACTCGAGTTTACCGGTTTCCCCGAATGTTCTTGTATCTGAAATAAAAATTGGAAGCTCGCAGTTGAAAAAGGGAAACTCGATCCAACACTTAGTTACCTAGGTAGAAGGGAGCAGGTATGGGAAAGCTACCCTTGCACTTAGGGTTCTATTTTAAGGCTGTTCCTTCCTGTCCGTTTGCGAGGGGGCGCCGCAAAGAACGCAGCGCCGCGGCGCGGCCGGCTGATGTGCCACAATGCGGCATTCTTCCCTTCGACGTTGACTAATGATCCCCACCTCGAGATCCACCTACATCCAAACCGTATCTATCCACTTCTTCACCTAATAACTCTCCCGGCCCTCTTTCCGGCATGCAGATTATCCACCTATCGCCTACCATCGCCTGCCATCGCCTGCCACGTGGATCCCGCATCCTCAACATCATACTCACAATCGGTCTGGTTCAATTCTCACGTGGACCTGAGCAGTGGATCATGGCGACTTCGGAACCAGACGAATTTACAGCCAGAAGCATCGCTGATCTCTCATCGGGGAATCTCTTCACCTCTGTCATCGGAACATCGTGCAAAGGGACCCTCGAGGGATCGGCGGAGGGGGGCTGGGAAGAAGGAGGGGACTGGCTGATCTGGAGTAGCAAATGCAAAGCATTTCTATACAACCCGTTTATTATAAGCTTGAATCATATATTAAATGGTATTCAAGTTAAATATATAACTCAAGTTTCAAGCGGTAGCAATAGTAGTATCTACTTCTTACATGGCCAAACATCTGTGTATTTTGACTGGTCAATCGGCGCGCGCGCGCGCGCTTGTGGTAATTGTGGTAATCGTGGAACAGCGTGTTTGGCGTGTACCGTGTATATTTTTGGCGGGGAGGAAATTGGCGGGTTTGGTTTTCGGGGCGGGAATAGGGGAAGAAAGGAAAAACAAATAATACACTATACAGCTAAAAATTAAAAATTATGTCCTCGGGGGGTTAACAACTTACCGCTTAGGTATCGTGTAAAAGTACAGAGTAATGCAAATTTCCATTAAGAGAAAACAGCGATTCTTTTGTTGTCGCAGAAAAAAAAAACAGCCTATAGTACAATTTACCCAAACCACTCTAAAATAGAAAAAGAAAAAAAGAAACATGCGGCGCCTAATTCATTCCTATGCGTTCGCGCGTGAATGCAGGGATTCGCGATGACGTTTCTGTATTTTTGTTTTTTTTTTTTTCTCGAGGAAGGCTGGCGAAGGAAACGTCATTGCGAATTCCTTGGAAGTCCGGAAAGGACTCGCGTCACGGATTCGCGCGCATGCGCCATAGAATCGAAGTGAGAAAATAAGAAACGAAAGCGTCGTAGAGGTTGTCTAGTAGCAAGACTTTTTTTTTTTTCTTCGAAAATAGGAAAAAAGAAAAATAGTGGATGGCATAAGAAAAGAGAACGAAGGGAATCGAATCGGAGGAGCATTTTCTTTTGGCGCGAATTCAAACGAACCCAAAGTGGATAATGATGTGAGGCAAGGGGGAAAATAATAACAACAGTTATGTAATGATAACTCAAAATGAAGGAAACATTGTAAAAATGTACTTGTAACTTAAATTTAGTAGGAGCTTTCGTTTCCGGTAACACTCCCTCCACTCCCCTTCATGCCCACGAATCGAATCGTGGACCCTGTTCTTCTTCTTCTTCTTCTTTTTTTCTTTTTTTTTCTTCACTGCGGCCAAATCACTCACCGCTCTATATAATATATTAACATCTCCGTGCGGCATTTTCAAATTACGTACAATCTTACGCACTTGTAGAATTAACATTAGCCAGTTTAGTATCGCGCGCACGAATTAATCGCGACGCTCGCCCGCTGCGGCATTACAATTACAATTTTATAAACGGCGAGTGTCGCGATTATATCGTCGAAAATCGTCTTTCGCTTCTATGTTCATATTTATAGTTATGTATATTTATATATATATATAATTATAGATACCTTTCTATATTTACACATACATATATATGTATACATATATATATCCCTAATCCTTATACGTATGAACGCGAATAATCATCCGTTCGTACGTATTGTATGTAAGTATATACATATATATATATCTGTAAAGTATTTAGCTAGTATTTTCACTAAAAACCACCTCCGACTCCATTCCGTCATCACTTAAAGTCTTTTCGATTCATCATCGACTTGCAAGTCGACTGCACTCAATTTTGCAAATTCACGCAGAGAATCCCGTGCACCTCGCTGAGCTCTCGTCGAAGGCGATCGGACTTTTTGGCCGTACGTAAAAATATCGTCGTGTCTCTCTCGCGGGCGTGTCGCGTTTCTATATCGACATTCGAGAGCGACGGCCGCGCGTTTCGCTTAGCCCTTTATCGAAGCGGGAACAGAGGGCCGTAGGTCCCGTTACTAAATTAACGAGAACGACGACCGCGAGGACAGCGCGAAATTGTTGGACGGATGTCGTGCTAATCGTACGTGTAGGATTTCTTTCAGATTTTTATCTGAGATTTTTTATCTCTTGAAAAATCCTTTTTTGTTTTCGCAACACTCTCTATTCGAATCGATACTCCGCTTTCACTGTGTAACGTAAATCTTGTAATCGTTTTTGAAATTTCATTGGATAAAAAAAGAAGAGTCCCGAAATTTGCCAATTTTCGTGAAAGGAGGGGGAAGGAGGAGCGGATGTGCTCATTAATGATATTTCCTCGTGTTAACGTACGTATCTCCGCTTACTATCGATTAATCGTATTTGTCGAGAAAATTGACTTCATTTCACTTTACTGTATTAAACGTCGCGACGGACGTCCCTCGAGTCGCGGAATAGTCGTCGGACCCAACGGGGACCAACGCGCAATGTAAACGATGGCGTATCGACCTATAATGAGCATTTCTCGCGTTAAGTCCCGCGACATATATATATATATATCCATATACACATAAATATATATATATATATATATATATATTGAGTCCCACCTTATATTAGGACGGTCCCGGCTCGACATCCTCGCGACGACGCTGATTAAATAAATCTACGCGACGCGATCGTCTCGCGAGAATTCGTTGCCTAAAAATTCACCCTAAAGCACCATCATCCTTCGCAGGATTCCACATTCTTAATTATCTTATCTAAATCGTCCTTAATTTCCTTCCAATCTTGTATCAAAGGATTCGTAAGTCTTTCGTCTTACGCGCGAATGCCGCGACACGCTGGCAAAAACCGTGAACGTTCTTCAGCGTTCCTTCCTTCGAGTGCCAATCGAATCTCCATTTTATCCGAAACAATCGAACATCCGTAAACGGATTGACAAACGTGTCAGGCAAACATCTTGGTTATTAGTCGAACACGGCAGAAATATTTAAACAGTATCGTCCCTCTGTCCTGCCCGTATGCTTACGTGTAAACGGTACCTTTAACTTTGACCTAATCTTACAGTATACCTAGATAATATTTATATATATATATATATTATAATAATCGTATCTCTATGACACTAGCGCACATTATAATATTTATTCTATAGAATATATTCAATATTTCTTCTCATATTTATATGTATATTTATTTTGTATTTATATATATATATATATATATACTATTATGTATATTTATATATGTATAGCGTTTTTTCCGTGTCTCATATAATATATAATATTTAATAATTCCTCTGGTGTTTATGCATTTATGACGTATGTGTATATATATATATATATAACGCTTGCTATACAGCTCCTTATATGAGGTTTAGTTTCAAACAACAGAGATCGTTGTATCCAGAGCGAAAGAATCGGCCATCCGTCCGCCTGTCATATCCTTCGTCGATGGACAAACCCTCGCAATCCCTTTGCAAAAGGAAAAAGATAATCTCACAGTCACTCCAGTAATTTCCAGCCCTCGTCCAGTCAATCTCCCGTACCGCCGTTCTTTCTCAAGGGCGTTTGCATTGCTCATTCATTGCGTCTACCTATCTACACGATTACTATTGGATCTAAAGTGTCTTACTTTAAAAATTGACTTGAATCGTACCCGTACGTCTAAAATTAAGAAATCGTGAACTTTGTCACTCTGGTTTTTCGCGAGGCGCGCGAAAATAATGGCAGATTATTGACTTACGTTGTTGTTGTTGTTGTTGTTGTTGTTGTTGGGTATCTTTTAATTTCCCCTCTCTCTCTCTCTCTCTCTCTCTCTCTCTCTCTCTCGCTCGCTCACACATTCATTCAAGTTTTCGTTTCTTTTTGTTTTCCTTTTTTCCTTCTACGGACTCTCGCGAGACGGAAATTAATGGCACGGAGGGAAGAAGCTGGAGCCGATAGTGGCTGCGGCTCCCGAAGCGAGAGAGATCATCCTCGCGTACGAAGCCGTTTCCGGCCCTATTATGCTCTGTGTATATTTTCTTGTTTTTTTTTGTTTTTTTTTTTCTTCATAATTTCTGCCTTCTCGTATAACTCTTATACATTAAACACCTTTTCACTTTGTCCTACGTTTGTCTTTCTCACTGTTGGTTCGCGCGACGACGCTATTACGACGGAGCCGGCACTTTAGCCACGATCAGCCGATTTCTCGTGTACCCACTGTGACCCTCAATCACCTCGTGGTGATCGTCTGCGGGATGATTGATCAGTCTCAAATGTCTTACAGGTGTTGGACGACCCGTTTAATTTGAGCAGCTCACTCCAAGGAAACCCGCAAGACTTTCTCGAGACCTTCTGGTCCACGAGGTCTCGACGAAGAAGAGGAGGAGAAGGAAGAAGAAGGCGGTGACGATGACGTAAAATGAAGATAACTCGTGAGAAGATTTACGAAACGTCAAGAACTCCCACGTGGATACAATGAATTCCTTCTTCTACGTATACCGGGTGACCCAGTGGATTCCTGTACTTTATCACAGACCGATCCTCCCGCTTTTCCCTGGTCTTTCGGACATCTGGAACAAGAAGCATCACAGTAGGTAAGTAAGTGCCAGATCAAAGAAACATAACAGATATAGGATAATTGTAAAATCTCGAGAGAGAAAAAAGACGAAAAACTGATTCACGAGATTCCTTCGACTTTTACCCCAGACGCAGGTAAAACGGCAGCAAAATCCCAGGAGTCGATTCTCAATGGAATCCCACACGCCTAAACTCTCAATCTCGTCGTCCCCTATCAATCTGTAAAATTATTGGGGCAGGCGAACCCTGTGCTTTTATTCATTTCGCGGGTACTCGAGAGGAAATAGTTGGGAAGCGTAAAAGAAAAAAGAAAAGAAAAATATTTTCAAAATATATCTTTAACACCGATTATGTACACGTGTTGATTGCGCGCCAATGTTTGACGACAGTTTGCACTTTGGTGTTCAAGGTGACTAATGGTCGCGATTATTCCAGTTAGGATGAATTTATTATTGCAAGCTGCTCTCTTCCTCTATGGACCGTTTGGATAAACACAGCTTCCCGAACTGCGTTGCAATGGGAACGAATTTAACACAGAGGACACGGGCGAAGGTGAATTGGAACAGCTGAGGAGAATAAAGAGACGACACATCGAAGATGAGCAGCAGTCTTGGTGGTCATCGCGTCATCCGGTCATCGGTACACGAGCCGAGGCGGATGCTGCGCCCTGCTCTTCAGAATGGCCATAAGATAGGATCAAAGAGATCCGTGGGTCCCGGGAGGGTGTAGAGGACGGAGGCGTCTATTTTGGCGGCCAAGGAAACACGTGCTCGTGGGCGAGAGAGCAAGCCGAAAAAAGAATGTGCTTGAGAAGAGGAGAAAGAATCGAGCACGAGATCGGAAGGGAATAAAAACGATTTAAAAGGGAGAGACAAATGGACGCTCGGCGCCGCAACTCCTGCAGCCGCTACACTGGATACACTTAAGGCCGAACTTTTATTTCAATCTAATCCGCAGCTCCGATCTGGCTTACTGGACGAAATTTTCGAAAACCCATTTCCAGCCGACGTATCGTGCGTTCTCGGTCGCGTTTACGGCTGAGCCGTATCGATAAACGACACTTTGATACAGCCTCTTCCAACGGCCATTCTTCAGAATCTCCCGCTCAAGTAATTTCGCGTGCGCGTAGCAGAGGTCTAACTTCTTCATTTGCAATATTAAAAAGTTTCTCCTATAGGCTCGTGCGGGAAATTTGCTTGCGTTTGCGGTTTTTGTCTCGCAGACGACAAAACAGGATCCTTAGCGATGCTCCTGATGTGGGATGCTGTTTTTTTCTCTTCTTCCCAGGGACGCAAACATTGTTTAACGAAAACTCTGAAAACTCGTATACGAGTATCTGATCGGCTGATTTATATTACTCCGGTTTTTCAAATTTCTCCAATTTCTCCAAATCGCCCGCGCGCCTGTCTCCTCGGCTAACTGGACGGGTGGCGGAGTGGGATTTCACTATAGTAGTAACAGTAGATACAGACCGTCATAGACAGACCGAGCTACAGCCGGCATCCTGCGACTCTCGGCGACTCTCGGCGACACCCGGCGACACCCCGCAACTGGATGTCACTGCGCCAGCTATAGAAACGGCAGAAACGTGTGAGGCGAACTCCCGGGAATTGGGTTTTGCGTTGGCGTCATTACTTTGTTTATGAGGACAGAAACGCGCGGAGACAGCGAAGAAAGAGTGTCCGATCGCTAATATTTACCGATTCGGTTCCTGCATTTTTCCCGGGAGGTTAGTTTTATGCATCGGCGATCCACTTTATTCGCGACCAATCACCGAAGTCCGTTTGGCAGCTTACCAATACGCGTAAACGAGCCGGCTGCTCTTGCTGATCCCCTGAACCTGCCTACATATATATCCCCCTCTGCTCCCGTCCACCCGACCCCCTCCATTCTCCTCCAGATTTACCTGTGTGCCGCATTTGCCTAATTTCACTCTATTCCAGCCACCCCCTAACCGCCAGACGCGAAACTACTCGAGATAATCGGACGGGGCACCTGTCGTCCAGCGCGACAGCTGCTGGACCCTGCCAAAGTGCATCTGTCTTTCTTGAGGAATTTTTCAAGGCCACGCTCCCAAACGGAACTGGAGAACGAGAGAGACGTTGATCCAGTTCAGCACCAGAAGCACCAGACGCACCAGAAGCCAAGCGGAAGCTCACAGGACACTTGGGGACAAACAGGCGCAAATAGGGAGCAGCGTGACGTCAGTAGTCACGGCCAAGAACGAGAAGTCGGCCATTTCTCAGTGACAAATCAGAAACGGTCTCCGGTGGTTAACGACATCGTTTGTCAGGCATTGACACGTGACGTCATAATGTCTGTCAGTCCCTTGAATGCCTTTACGTCTCGCATCCTCACCTCGAGGCCCCAAACGCGCCTACTCTGCGCGGCTACTCTCACGATTGCCTTTCGCATTCCCATTCCGACTTTGAATGGCTCCATTTCGACGAAGCCATTGAACGAAGCGACCGAAGCGACCGAAGCGACCGAAGCGAACGAAGCGAACGAAGCGAAGGCCAGACAGCGAGAAACCAGAGGAGAGAAATTACGGCACTCGAGGAGGGAGAGCATCTCCTCATGCTTTGGATTGTCAAGTATTGCCAGGGAGTGCGAGAGAGAGAGAGAGAGAGAGAGAGAGAGAGAGAGAGAAGGGCTTCGATCGGGAAACTCTAAATGCACGTTAATATCGACAAGGGATGTTCGATATTACCTACGGCACTCCGTCGATACGGTGGAAAAAGCGATGCACTCGTGAATGCAGTTGCATCAACCGCCACGTGCAGGTGCAGCCCACTTATCGTGCGCAGTGGGTGGATGCGTTTCCTCCCGCCGTCGCAGCCGCAGAGCACGCGTCTTTGCAGGATTAAATGAAATATGCTAGAGGGTGTCAGGGGGTGTCAGGGGGGTCGCGAGGCAGGACGCCCCGCGGCCAACAACTTGTCAGAAGCTCACGACTCGTTCATCCGTCTTCGGTAATTTCCGTGGGGCCTTTTTATTTTTTATTTTTTTATTTCGCGCTGCGCGCCTCTGCAACAGTGGCGGCTCGATGGATTTAGACAGAATGTAGAATAGAACGGAATAGAATGGAGCGCAGTGGAATTCCTGATAAAGCAGAACCACTTTTCTCTCTCTCTCTCTCTCTCTCTCTATATATATGTATGTATACACGTATGTGTATATATATATATATATATATATCGCTACTTCGCTCCACTCCATTCCACTTCCATTCCGCTTCTACTTCGCTACGCTCACCATTCCTCTCGCGGATGAAAGATCGCGCGTCGATGCTAAAACGCACCCCTGGCCTCGTACTAATGGATTCTGCACTCTGATTTCATTTTTTGTCCGAACCTCCTATCAGATTGCTACAGGACCAGCCCGAAGGATGACCGTCAGGTCCCTTGTCACCATTTTGGACAAAAGGTGTCGCGTCACGGAGGGAAGTATCTGCTTTTGACCACTTCCGGTTGTCTTTCGCGTAAGGATTCTAATTTATTTCCTTAATTGCTGCGGTTAATTAACCTAATTGAAACTCTCCTCTCGAGAATTGCTATTTCTATACCTGACCGAAAACTTAAGTTTCCAATAGGCACTTGCATTCTATCGTTGAACCATGTACTAGATGTATATGGGTGGTGGTTTCGTGTTCCCATAGAGTCGTACGGGGGTTGCTAGGCACCCTGGCTGAAACCCTGCAGTATACGATTCTTATGGAGATGACAGGGCCGTCGGTATACGTCGTGGTGCCCTACGTAATATCGGGATCAGAAGAGACTCGTGTTATTTTATGAGAATAAAAATTTTATTAGATTTCTATATTTCGTGATAACAATGAAAATCAGAATCGTTGCAATATTTGAATCCAAAATATGGCTATTGCGAAAGTTAACCCTGGAACGATACAATGCGTCACGTAAAATTCGGAAGATCGAATATATGGGAATGTAATGAAAAAAAAAAAAAATGAAAGGCCAATTTTGAGAGGGGCGTCTAAATGACTAAAGTTCCCGAAGAGCCCTCGATTTTGACCCTCGCCTATGTACGTCTCTGTCACTCGTGTACACTCGTGCCCAAAAAGTATACCATAGAATACGCAATAACGATACGGAAGACATTGCCGATTCGGCTTCGGTTCTTTCTTTCGATTTTCGCCGTGTCAATATATCAGAGGGAACGCGGAGAAAAATGCTAGTGCGATTGAATTACATTGAGTTACGTAACGTTACATTGCTACCGTGGTGCCGTGGCAGAGGGAGGGAGTATTGCGTATTATATATATATATATATATATATATATATATATATATATATCTACGTAGGAAATTTATCGCACGGCACGTTGGTTGCGATTCATTTTGAAAAACTGATACCGCTCAGAGCGAACGGGTGACCCGCGCCCGTACATTTTGGCACGTGCTGATAGCCAGTATTTCTCTGTCCCACGTGGGAGCCCGAATGCAACGGCCGTTTGGCAAAAGTGACAAACCGTGCACCCGCGGCGTCCCATCCCTTCGTCCGGTAGTCTGGTGTAGAAGCCATTTTGAAAAATCAAAATATAGCCGGGAGTGCATTTTAAAAAGTACCGTGGGCCGAATGCTGGTAATTACGAGAGTCGATGGGCTTCTGGGAAACAATTAGCGGCGTGGAAAAGTTGACGATTAATATTTCTCATTAAGAAGCGGTTTTACCTGTAGAAATATAAAAAGTGGGAAAAAGCTAAAGCAACGGAGAAAGACTGTCCAGCAATGGATATCGAAATTCCTTTGTATCCTGAAGCAATTGGGCTCCGGATATAGAGATAGGCGGTTGCGATATAGCAGGCTAAAGGGTGTCTAAGGGTGGCTGTGTGTATGGTCTATATATACAATGAGAGAGAGAGAGAGAGAGAGAGAGAGACGGCAAGGGTGCGCGAAGGGGTATCTGGTAAGTAGTAGGGGTGGCCACGTGGCGCCGTGGCGCGTCATAGTGGCGCCAACGGCCGCCCGCACCC